ATTTCGTAACGCATTTTGAAGTGCACTCAACTAAGGAACTGATGAAATTAACATCAACTTCTGATGTAAGCGTAAAGTTTTCAAGCGATAGCTGGCAAAAATTACGTGCTCTAATGCTGATTCCTTGCGCCAATCGTTCCAAATGTTCTTTTGAATTGTCATCGTTGTGAATTACTCTTCTTGTTAACGTAGGAGGTGTTTTTCCAATATTTTCAAGGTTTGTGGTGTAAAATAATCCACGTTGAAGACCAGCTGCGTTTAATGAATAGTTATAACTGGCCTCTGCTTGGCTAGTTTCTTCATGAACTTTCTTTTTCTTGACTTTAGTCATTGCTTGTTCCGAAGACAAGAAAGTTGCTGAAGCCTCGTTATTTGCAAAATATTGTTGTCTTCTTCCTTGATTATTGGTATCAATCATCCAACGTGGCCCTTTTCGATGTACAGTTTCATTTTTTAGTAATTCCACCTTCCTGACTGGTTGCTTTTGTTTTTGGTTCTTGAATCCATCGTATCGAAATGCCTGACCATCTTGGAGCTGACATGCGAAAGCAGAAGAAGGATGTTGATGCAGAAGATGACAAACCATTCCAAGGTAAGCTAAGAAATAGAAGATCATTGGTTCAGATATATCGTTTTGTTTCGTTTAACCACTTCAAATCGCATTTGTTTCAGCACTTGATGAAGGTGATATAGCAGTGTTGAAGCGTTATGGACAGGGACCGTACGCCGAACAACTTAAACAACTGGAAACTGACATTGAAGAATGTGTGAAAAAGGTTTGTAGCACGTATTGTTGTTGTTCGTTGGCTTTCTGTCACTGTACCTAAGCCAGAGCGTTTTTCTTCCCTAAGATGGGTTGCTGTTTCGCAGGCTCGTTGTTGTACCTTTTCGATTTGTATTTGTGATGATCTAATCGGGCCTCCCTTCGTCTTCTCTCATCGCAGATCACCTCTGTTGTGCGAGTTTCTTTGCTTTCTAAAGTCAAGAAAATAAAAAGATGATCGCGAAACAGCTCGATCTCGGATCGTCCATCATTGATCACAGAATGGTGTGCGTGGCTCCATTCATAGCTGCTACTTCAAAGTCTTTCCAGTATGCACATTGTACCTTCTTGTCTTTGTTTTATCATTTAGAATATCTATTTCAGCTATTTTTTTTTTCAATTTACAATCATCCCAATCACTACTTCAAAGTCTTTCCAATATACCCCAGTTGTTAGCAAGATGTTCAGTCATTCGCCTTCAACTGCTCTTCTCAGCTAACTTCGGCTTTTGAAAACCTGCTCCTGTTGCTTTTACCTCAAACTTTCTTCTCAAAGCTACAAATTTCTATTATTTACATATTTTTACCATCATATCTGTTCAATTCTCTTAGGCCGCGTTCATAGTTCGAAGTTATACGAACCACTTCACACCATGAAAAATAACAGTCGATATCCGAAAGTTGGGGTGGGTGTGTCACCGGAAGTGACGTGCACTTGATAGAAGTGCGTGGATAAGCTGTTGCCAGCATGCTTTGCTGATAGCCAGCGATGTATGTTGGAAGCAGCTTATCCACATAGTTTCTATCAAGTGCACGTCACTTCCGGTGACACGCCCACCCCAACTCACCGATATCGAGTATAGCTCGACAAGCATATTATGGTAGTAGTAGATTAGCTAGTAGAAGTAAGATAGTACGTGTGGTCGATCCATTGAAGTCGCTACTGATCTGTATTCACTGCTATTACAATCCGAAAACGAATCTAATCATGTCCCAGCGCAAATCCTACTCTACACTATCCCAATACTCACCCCCTATCCTGCTATCCTAACTTCCGTAGTCCCGCTCTTCGAAATGGAATGCCGCCGAGTTTCAAAATCTTTTATTGTAACTTGAGTGCATTTTATAATTATAGTTTCAGCGAAAAAACTCTCCGGAGTCAAAGAGTCCGACACCGGTCTTGCTCCACCAGCATTGTGGGACATTGCAGCAGATAAGCAGGCTATGCAACAAGAACAACCTCTTCAAGTTAGTGAATCTTCTGCCATTGTATGTGCCTAACACATCTCCTTTTTTTTATATTCATATTTTAATATCAGTTAAAATATTAATAATAAAATAAGATAAAATAGATTGATTAAATAAAATAAATTCAAAATATCAACATTTGCAAATTATACGTGCGAGTGCACCAAAATCCATCAACCGGGCCGAGGGTCACGATCCCAATATATATTCAAACCGTTAAACAAGTTCGCACAATTGTCTTTGGATCTCGCGGATCAGTATCTCCGCGGATATTGAGGTATTTAAAACACAGGGAACAACGTCAATCAATGGCGACACTCTCACCGCATGGACAATCGGGTCTCCAAGCTTTGGGGAATGCCAGATTATGGCATCTTTCGATATCGCTAGTTGTGATCCAGCTAAATTTTAGTTTGCACTCTTACTGGTCACTTCTAACCGGAGTGATAAAAATGCCTCCCTAACGCACAACGGTTGAACTTTTGCAACTGTAAACAATTTTATTGCTACGCAGCAATTTTGCTTGCGTACTGCAACAGCGAGTTTTTTTGTTTGACAAACAAAATTGAACCATATCCATTTGGGGGGGGGTGAAGTGAAGCATTATGATGCGTTTCTCAATTTCTTGTGCACCAACAGGCAGATTTCCCTGTTTGGTTTTGGAATCGCTCAATGTGGTTTTGCAGAAACCGAAAACTTCAGCAGTTGCACATACCGTTTCAACTCTCGCTCGTTATTGTTGTACTACCCGGTCGTCAGCACTTGGCCGATGTCAGACTTTGCGATTGGAGCGATTGTGCTCCAATTGCAGGAGCGACGGGAGATTTACACGGCCGACCACCGATAATTCGGCGTCACTAGCTCGTAAATCTCCCGTCGCTCGCAGCTCCCTGCCACAACGAGATTTACCCGAAGCGGCCCGTTTATCGGTGGTGGGTGTAAAATCTCCCGTCCTCTCTGCAGTTGGTCACAATCGCCTCAAACGCAAATCTTGACACGCCACTAGGAGACTTTCGCGTCGGCCTCATGGTTATAATAACTTTCAGGGCAAATAAGCATGCAAATATTTAGCGTCTTTACTCTCCCGACACTTATTGACTTTTTATCTTACTTGCATCAATTGTTTCCACAAATAATGCATACTCGTCAGCCTTCATAATTACCTGAAACCATCACTTTGTTAAATTAGGAAGTATGAGTGGTGTGGACCGCAATAATACCCATTCCACTTGCCACTCCAGCAAAAATCGATCCAACAGTAACTATGATGCAGGTATGAAACTATTATTATCTTCCAAATATGGTAGCGATGAGAGAGCGGCTTTTCACTGCTGAGTTTCAGGTAGAGGAAAAGCCTGACGTCACCTACGCCGATGTTGTGTTGCCAAGGACCAGATAAAACTCGGGAGGCTTTAGAAACTCCTCTTCTACATGTAAGTCTATCTACTAAATAATTTTACCTCGTTGGCACCATTAAATAACTTTTTTCGATTTTAGCGTTGTTGTTATCGAATGACTGAATTCCAGCCGGAGCGATTCGTTAATCTTGGAATTGAACCACCTAAGGGAGTGCTGTTGTACGGTCCTCCAGGAACTGGTAAAACGCTTTGTGCCCGCGCAGTAGCCAACAGGTATGTCAAATCTTTTTTTTTCACGATTTACCTTGGCCAAAAAATTCTTATAGAATTTCTCGACTGAGGCTATGATCTGGGCAAAAAAGCATAGGAAAGACGAAACCAGCACTAGGGGATTCCTTTGCAAGCCAGGTTTCATAAAAAAGGATAGAAAACCAAACTGGTTTTTTTGAGGGTGACTTTTTATCTTCCATAAGTCACAATCGCATTTTGGAATTTCAAGTGAACATTGAACAGCAAGCTTTTGTTTTAGCTGCGCGGTGCATATTTACTAGTGACCGAGTTCCTGTCCCATTCATTTTTGATGTTCAGTTTGAGTTTGCATTTGCACACCTTTTCTTTCAGAATCCGATGCGTGCTTTATTCGAAGTCATCGTTCTGACACTGGTGCAAACTACGCTCGAGAAGGAGCTCGTATGGTTAGGGAATTGTTCGAAATGGCCAGATCGAAGAAGGCGTGCCTCATCTTTTTCGATGAAATTGATGCCGTTGGTGGAGCCCGTAAAGGGGGGGGGGGGGTGGGGGGGGGGGGGTGTTGCTCATAAATAACACACAAGCGCAGTTAACATCTATTGTAATTTCTTTGAATCGTGCTTCATTTTGTGAATAAAAGACCTTATCCATAGGCCGCTAGTTGACTCACATTATTTCTCCTCCCTCCCTTGTCTTGTTTACCCTAGCAGCATTCTCATAAGAACACGCCTGCCACGCCATAGTTCAAAATGCGAGGTATTGCGCTTTTTTCAATTGATCACAAACAAAGCTGAGACGCTTTTATTGTGAATTCGGTTCACTGGACGGCTTGCGATATTTTAGTCGCAACCATAACTCGTTTTTAAGAGCTCAACTGTTGTGGTTCGAGTTCTAAAGTATAGTCAGTTTATCCTGACGATGAGACATGCCAAAAATGTTCCATATAACGTCCATGCTTTTCCAAATTTTTATGAAATCCCGACAAAAGTCAGACCCTATCACTCATGGTGAAATCCTCTTGAAGAGCGTCTGAGAGTGTGCAGCAGTTACCTGCCACAGCACCTTCGAGCTTATCGAGTCAGCAAGTTTTTATTTCACCCATAAGTTTTAAGCCACCTTATCTTACCATTTTACATTGAACAATCCCGACAAAAATTCTTCTTTTGTGCAGGTGCTTTGCAATATTAATTATTGAATACTAAATTAAATATTGCTTTGTCAGTTTCGACGATGGTCAAGGAGGTGACAACGAAGTGCAGCGTACAATGCTGGAGCTTATCAACCAGCTTGATGGTTTTGATCCAAGAGGAAATATAAAGGTGTGCTATATGCTGTGGACCATTTACACCATTAAGCTCATAGCTGATCGCAGCACACTGAAATAGCTCCTGACTGTTCGACACATATATAGGTAATTGATTTTACTTCCAGGTGCTCATGGCAACAAATCGACCAGACACTCTCGATCCTGCTCTGATTCGCCCGGGTCGCTTAGATCGCAAGATTGAATTTGCTTTACCAGATTTGGCTGGAAGGGCTCATATCCTAAAGATTCATGCGAAACAGATGAGCGTTGAAAGGGATATTCGTTATGACCTACTCGCCCGGTTATGTCCAAACAGCACAGGTAAATTCACCATGTATGTTGTCCATCGTTATAGACACCGCTTACGAGTTTCAAGAGTTCACCAACTGATAATTGCTCAAACTAGGCAATTTAAAGACGAGTCCGTCGTACGCTATTTGTGATCTCCCGGCTGCGATGGTGCAATCGCAAGTCATTTTGAGCACTCGCGAACAGCATATCTGATTGTTTGCTGTCTTGCGAGCTCGGCTACTCTAGTGGTGTGTCGGTTGACCCGAGTCTCAATAGCGCAATTGACGTGACCTCGAATGGGAATATGTGTCGCTGTGCTTGTGCGCTGCAGCCAGTGATTGGCTAATTGCGTCAGGTCGAACATCAGATATGGGCTGTTCTATAGGAAATCTCAAAACATCGACGAGAACGTGTGTTTTGTCAACCGTTTCTAGTGATCACAAGGCTCTTTTTCGGAGCGAGATTCTTTTATAAAAGCTATATTTTTAAAAAGCTAATTGCATTAACGCGGTGGTGGACATTACGGGCTCAGCGTCCCGTCGCAGGAGATTACGCTTATTGGTGAAGATTTGTCACGGTGTCCCAGTCAATTGCAGTCCTGGTGGTGTGGTGTTGTCTGTGACAGCGTCTACCTTAATATCTGAGAGGAATTTGGACTGATTGCCAGGAACTGCTAACCGCGCATGGCCAGGAAACTGTTAGCCCGCATGTGATTTTTTGCAGAAATGCAATGAAGTGCATTGCTGAGGGTTTCAATGAAGAAAAACTAACGGTGTTTGGATTACAGTGTGTATGTTTATGCAACATTAGCCATTTATGAACCGTGTTCAGGTGCCGAAATACGTTCTGTGTGCACTGAGGCTGGAATGTTTGCGATCCGGGCTCGTCGCAAGGTAGCAACAGAAAAGGACTTTTTGGAGGCAATCAATAAGGTGAATCCTATTTCCTCATTCTTCGAATTATCTTATACCTTTTCGGCGATCACGACTTTTCATAAACCACGATTATGCAGTTCTCAGAAATCGGTAAATTCAGATGAAGTCGTGTTCCCTAATTCTTCGAGATTTATTTCTTTTTTTTCTTGTAATAATTATGATTATGTTTGTCTTGTAACTAGCAATATTCACCGCCAGCTACTTCTGGCGACAATTTCCAATTGTGGTGCAAATTACTGATCGCCCGGGCATAGATTGACCTAAAGTTGACTTCAACCCCACATTCCAAAACTTCGGTTACACCTTCCAAACCGTGTTGTCCTATCATGGGAATGTCTGAAATAAGGCTGGATGTAGTTTTTCTTACATACGTGAGTTTCTTTACTTTCGAAAATGGAGCTTTCTGAAATCGGGCTATCTTTCCCGGCTAGGTGATATGGCTAAATCTGGATGAAGTTAGATTCAAAAATGGTGATTCAAAAAAGGCTAAGTTCTTATACTTTCGTACATGAGATGATTGGTAGCGGCCCGTTTGCGTCGCAGCAATATATCCTTTTCTGAGCCCTTAGTAACTTCAGATCTTCAATGAGCATTCGATGGTCTTAATTTACTTCTGATTTCAGGTGATTAAAGGGTATGCGAAGTTCAGTGCAACACCGAGATATCTTACCCACAACTAAGGATGTGAAAATCGTCGACCAATGTATATTTATACTAAATTATAACTGTCCACCATGTCATCAATCCTGAGTGATCGATTTCACAATCGATTTTCTATGAAAATCGCGAATAAAGGCTTGATAAATTGCATGTTAACGCTGTGCATTAGG